TACATAGAGAATTAGATATATATATACTGACGAGCAAAAGAAAGTGGGCACCCTACGTTCTGGGCATTATTTCCGATCTTTACCGTAGTAATGCCGTATTACCAATGAATTTTGAAAGGTTTGCCATTTTTTCAATAAATGCAGACAAAAAAACTAAGAAGAACGACCAAAAGCACACCTTTTATTAGAAATTAATAACACCGATTCAAATGTCCAAAATCCCAGAATTAGTAAGGGTGTAACTCCCATCAGCATTGATGACTACAATGCATCTCTGCTTCATGGATTGCACATGTAGTTGGATAAATTGCTCGGGAATATTATTCCAAGCATCAATTAATGATTGCTGCAGTTGTGGGATTGTCGTTGGGGGTGGCCGAAGGGTGCAAATTTCCTTGTCCATCGTGTCCCAGAGGTGCTCAATCACGTTTAAATTTGGGGATAATACTGGCAACGGTGTTATAACACGTACGTCATTTTTGTTGTAAGAATCTCTGGGTAACACTGGCACGGTGTGCTGGTGCGTTGTCCCGCTGAAACACGAGATTGTTCCTGTGGCGAGCCAGAAACGGCTGAAGGTGTGGATAGAGAACGTCATTGATGTATATCTGGGCAGTCAGATTACCGTCGATAATGACTAGATCGAATTTATCAGTACTGGTTATGGATTCCCATAACATAATGCTACGTTTGTCAGCAACAGCACTGACACACTGAGATAAATAAAGTTCATGACGTCTCCGGTAGACTTTCTGCCTTCCATCGTGGCGATCCTAAAGAAATCTGGACTTGTCAGAAAACATCACTCTGTTCCATTGGCGGTGTAGCCATCGCCAGTGCAGACGTGCCCAGTTGAGTCTGGCATGACGGTGTCTTTGGAGGAGACGAGTGCGTCGAGGTGGGCGTCGGGCAACGATTCCGTGGGCTTTCAAGCGTCGACGAACGGTGAAGCGGCTGATTGGTCTATACCCAGGCCAATCTCTGGCAGTTTTAGAAGCTGTATGAAACCGATCCCGCAAGTGTGGAACTCTGATCCGATTGTCTTCAACAGCAGTAGTGACAGGAGGACGACCAGACCTTGGAGTGTCACTAATCCAACCACTTGCTTGGAAGTGTATCCTTCGCTTTTGGATAGTATCTCTCGTCACATTGAAAGCTCTTGCGACAGCACAAACCGTCTCATTGCTCTCAGCATGCCAAGAGATTCTTGACGTCGCGCATCACTGAGACGAGGCATGGTAAAAAACAAAATTGGAAAGTACAAACCCAAAATTTTGACGGCCTTTTCGCTTACATACGTTGAAGTGTGTAACGAAAAAAGAATAAAAGTAAAGGTATTGTAAACTTTCAAGAAAAAACGAGAAAACACGTTTTGGGTCAAACGTATAGAAATTGAAAACACTTTTTATAACAACAAAAATAAACAAATGTTGTTCTGACAGACTTTCTGAAGTGACAAAAGCTCAGCATGCCAATCGCCAAGTCAAAATTCGCTAAACTACTCATACAGCACCGATTTGAAAACTGCCCAATTTCTTTTGCTCGCCAGTATATATA